ACGTATATATATATATATATATATATATATATATATATATATATATATATATTTTACAAAGCGGTAAGTGTCAGATCACCTACGGGTATTGTTGCAGATCGATGTTCTCTCTGCAGACGCGAGTATAGCGTAACTTTAAAGTGAAAGAAATATGGATCTACCCGTGAAAAGAGCCGATTTACAAGTCAAGATAGAATTTCTATGCCGCCTTTCATTTCAAGAAGCATGAAATTTTACTTTATGATAAAAATAGTATATTATTTTACAATAAAATTTCTTGGAATAATTGGAAATAAAAAATGAAGAATAAACAATTGAAATAAGTCGAGTATGTTAATAAACATAGCTAATTCCTCGGCAAGCGGGATCTTGGTTGTTAAATTTGTATGTATAAAATAAATTCAAACAATTATATTACATTACCAACCACGTGTCACTATTTTTAGCAAACTTACAACGTAGCGATTCTACAATAATCCGATAATCAAATATCTATTTGATTATCGAATCGATCGATTAAAATCCCCTATTTTTTATTATACGCTAAAAATAGTGGCACGTGGTTGATAATATAATTGTTTAAATTTATTTCGTAAAAGAATTTAGCAACTAAGACAACTTCTGCTTGCCAATTGATTATGACTTTGTTTATTAACATACTCGGCTTATTTCAATGTATTGTTTATTCTTACGTCAGCCTGAGAAAGAACGTTCTTCTCATTTTATTTATCTAAATATTATGATAAATATTATCAAAGGCCTCAATGTTCTAATGGATAAGATGCCTGCTCAGAGAGCAGACGATCCAGGTTCGATCCTTGAGACTGAGATGGGTGGTGATATTTTTCGCAATACATATTTCCTCCGAGAAATGAAGGAATTGGCTATGACTCTCTCAGTGTTTAAAAAAAATGGAGAGATGATCATAAAAACAATCTATAATAATTCCTCCATTTATACCTCGAAAAATTCAAATATGAAATATTCTTAAATGTGAAATCAGAAAACGTCAAATTGTAGAATTATAAAAATATCCAGATAAGCAGATCCATATCAGTAGCATCGCTAATTGGTGATCTTCGCTTACAAAAATGTTGGAAAGTGCCGTCACACAGGTATACACACACATACACACACGTTAGGATTCGCGAGCGAGCGCGTATGTGTGTATACCTGGTGGTACTTTTTTGGCTATTTCATTGTCGCTCGGACAGCCTTCGAAGACGGAATCGTCGCCTTCGTCCTCCGGCCCGTCATCGATCGTCCTTTCTATATATCCCGACGCGTCATAAAGATTCATTTTGACAACACTAACAACACTGGCAACGCTAACGGACTCGATGTCCTCCATCTGATCTGCGGCGACGCTATTGTCGACCTTGCTATTGTCTTCATCGACAATAATCAGATTGTTCTCTTCCGCGGTCACCTCCTCCGCGGGTTCCTCGACAGTCTCCTCGACCGCGGTCTCCTCCGCAGTCCGCTCCACTGGAATCTCCTCCGCGGTTTCCTTCGCGGTTTCCTCAGCGATCTCCTCCGCAGTCTCCACCGTCGCTTCTCTCATCGAGACCAAACTTGATTTTTCTTCAACATCGGCATTCTGCGGTGACTCGCGTGAATTCATCATCGCGGAGTCATCGCAAATTGGGATTGAGTCTAAGACGGGCGGAGGCGTCTTCTCCGCTATTTGCACGTTGCCATTGAGCTTCTCCGTTTTTTTCGTCGGAGATTTAATTTCATCGTCCACCTTGATAGGAAGCGCGGTCAGTCTGGGCGAGCCGATCGGCGTGTCGTCCGCTTTCGATCTCGTCTCGGCGTTCGCCTTCTTCGACGCGCTATTACACACGCAGCACTTGAACATCGTTCCTGTGTATCATTTACCTAGCAATCCTCTGGGTATCGCTCTACCGTCCCCTTTCCCCCTCCCCCGCTGCTACCCCTCACGCCCTCGAAAACAGCGCGCGAGAATATTCTTCTTCCGCGCGAAGAATTGTATAATCGTAATCCTCTTGGATTCGTAAAATCTCTTATAAATCAAATGTTATAAAATTCCAATCGGTTTAACGAGAATAACCGTGATCTTTCAATAAACTCGTCAGAAATTTAACAAATATTTGCAATATGAAATGTAAAGGTCAACAAGTTCTCGCAAGTTTCGATCGCGTTTCGATGTTACGAATACTCGAGTCGAGACGTGTTTAGCTTCCTATTTCGTAGCCGCCTCGGGATTTAATAATTTGCTTTGACCCGTCGATGTAGTCGCGACGGTAAACATAACAAGTCAATTATAACTGACGAGACGTGTTGCACGCACGTGTTGTAAAGCACGTTCCGTGTCTATTAGCACCTCCTTCACACGACAATCAACACGGTAATACTTAAGGCAAAGCTCGCATCGGGTGAGAGGGCGATCAAAACTACCGCAACAACAAATAACAGTCTTGCGACAAAAACATAAGAATCTTCTTTCTTCAACCACCGAAGAATTCCGAAAATGCTCGTCAAAACTTTTTTGGCAACTTTTCATCGGCAATCGAAAAATCAGAAAATCGAGCTGAATTGTCGATCGAATTGAAATCACACTTGTCATATTATTTACAATAACAAAGCGAGCCTTGGAACATTTTGCAGCGAGGGTCGACAAAAACAATATCCGGAGCGATGTATTGTCGAGAGCAACCACTCTCGGGATAGTACAAAATACCCCCGCACTCGCGAGCCACACTGATAAGCCAGATAAGCCAGAATTTGAGAATTTCCGATTGTTACTGGTAAATTTTGCGGGGGGGGGGAGGGGGGGGAGAAACGACGGAATTTACGTGAAATTGACGGAACAAGGAAGAAATAGCAACCGACAATGAAGGTGGAGAGGCGGCGGCTGGAGATAACGTCCTGGACACCCGCCCGGATTTGACGTTCCCAGTTTCGACCGGCGCGGATTGTTGCCGCCCCGCCTCCCCCGCCCCTTTGCCACCTCTTCCTCTCCAGGCCGCGTCCCTTGTGCTGCCGCTGCTCGGAGGAGACTCACAACACCGTGCTTCCAGGGTGACTTCTCGGACTCCAGATTAAACTTTATCCCGAAATTACAATTACATCGCACTTTACTCTGCCATTCATTGCTCTTAATTTAATCTTAATCTAATCTTCCTTTCTACGTGCCGCACAACAAACAATTTAAACTCTCTGTCTATGTGCCAAGATAGATGAGAGATTAGAGATGAACGATAAAAAAAAAAATAAATCGACGTCTAAATAAGCGATTAGAAAGATAATTTCAAAAGCGTTAATGACGATTGGTTAAGTCTCTGTGATTCCTTTTTTTCTTGCAGCTGTTTAATATTAAATTCAGCCAACTGAAGGATCGGTCTGCTTGTAAAAAAATTTCTGTGTAATTCAGTCGTTCTTAATCTTTTTTCTCCTCATCCTTTTCTCATATATATCAAATCGTAAATTAATAATTCTAGTTGATTCTTGTGATAAACAATTCTTGTGATGACAATGTGTATTTCTTGAATTAATTACTAACAATTACTCAAAGTTACTCTATAGATCCAAATAACAAGGAACAAAGAATTAAATGTAAGTAATTAAAAATTAGAAATTATATATAATTTCGATATATAAAATCATGCATTAATCCATAAGAAGAAAATTAATTTATTTGTTCGTCGTATGTTTTGTAAGGTTTAATAACAATATTTAGCACACACTCCATCAATCACTCAAATTACATATATTAAGTAACGCATATTTTTTGTCATTTCCCGAAATTTTAAGAATATAATATTTTTTTTACAAAAAAAAACGCAATTTTCACTTTATCCAATGTCATTTTGTCAATTTTCAAAACTAGAAATTCATGTTCTATCTGTATTATTAAATAATCCTATATTAATAACTCTGTACATCGCAAAACAAATTTTTCTTTTAAAACATTTTTGTAATTATTTATAATTTTTTTTAAATAAATGAATTGTTTAATAATTTTTATTTTACGTATCATTTAATATCTGTAAACGTACAAAATTTGAAATCGATCTATCGCATAGTTTAAAAAAAAAATTAAGCCATTATAAATACATAAACTTTTAGATTGCTAAAATATTTTAATGTTAAAAATATACATATATATAAATAGACATGTTCGCTCATGAATGGATCTTGGTGCCTAATAATTATTTTTTTAATTTATAATAATTTTTTAAATAAAATTATATCTTAATTATAGGGTATGTATACATATATATTTTTACTTTCCGAGACCCTTTGTCATCCTATTACATTTCAAAACAATAATTAAAGTTGCACAGACAGTTAAACATTTCAATATATTTTGTCATATTATAGCTATATAATATATTAGAGAGATTTATTGTAACAAAAATTAAATGTGCTATTAGATGCCAATTCTTGAAGAGATATCTTGTATCAATTTTGATTAATAAGGGCAATTTGGAAATTGGAATAATATTCATCATCAAGAAAATTACAGCGATTAATTTTGTTTTTGTACACAAAAAATTATTTTTATTGAATTGTATGATAAATCATTATAGACGACAATTTATAAAAATTTTTCGTTTATATTACTCCACAGTGTACTGTCACAAATTTATTATTTTTACTGCTACAAAATTATATAAATCTATAAATAACATAAACATAAATATAACTTAATAAAATGCCTAGTATATAGTTTAAGTAAAATGATTACAATATTTGATCGCAAATAAATTAATATTAAATACAATTTAATAGTCAAGGTTTCGTCACGCTTTCACATTTAGATAATTAAATATGTAGCATTCAAGGTTCGTCACGCTTTCACATTTAGATAATCAAATATATAGCATTTTTTTTTCTATATAGTGGTGCAAAGCAATAATCAAATTTGCCATTAATATCATGGCAAATCAAATGTCAAATGATATCAAATAAGTTTAAAGATGACTAATCAACTCTGATCTCAATCAGTGATAAGATCAGTCGACACAATTGCTCACAGTGGAACTTCTAATTACAGCTACATAATTTGTTACTTTTACAATTCAATCTTTCTCTTTGCGTGTTAAATAGCAAAAAATTAGCAATTCCATTATTGCGAATATTACTTTACAAATTATTCAAGCGTGAAGTCGCCATATATGTAGAATTGCTAGAGGTTATTATATTTTCACGCATTAAATATGAAAAATCTCAATAAAATTGAAAAATTTCCCGAGAAACGACGATCACTTCTAGTAGTATTTCTGGCAGACAGCCTTCAATAAAATCTAGTATAAACACCATCCGGCTTACGTGAATGCACACGTCACCGGTATGAAATGTCAAGCGACTCGAGCAAGCAACGCTCGCCGGGACGCAACATAGATAACCAAACTGTTTGTCGTACAGTTTCTTCGAACGATACTACTCGGAGCAAAAAAAAAATTCATCCAAACGCATCGTACATTTGTACTTTAAACATTGTTTTACACGATCAGCCGCGTTTAATGCGGCCTCTTCTCAGGAAATAAACGAGAAGCTTTCGAGAAGAGAGCTGTACCACCGCGCGTTTTTATCACACAACGATCGTCGTCTAAATTTGCATTGTATTCACTCACCATTTGACGACGTTTCCAAGTAACTCGTCACCGTATGTACAGCTGTTTCTCGATAGAATTGACGGAAAACAGGGAAGATCGATCTATCATACGGAAAAGTGTCAGTTGAACGATATTAATAGATAGACTGGGGCGTTTGCCGGATGTCGGAAATACTGTTTTTGATCGCTTGACTCACAGCGTGTTCAGAAAGAAGTTTAGTTACTACCGGTGAAACAGGTGAGGTTGGCAATGATGATTGGGTGCTTCCAATGCAAACACAAGTCCCTATGCAGACCTTCAAAAGAAAAGAAACATTCTAAAGACGCACGGGGAAGCTGGGGGGGTTGATTGTTTATCTTGAAATGAGATGGAAATTACAAAAGTGAGGAAATTTATTAACTTTCGAGATATAAAGTTGCAGTAAATTTCCTCATTTTTGTAATTTTTACCTTGTATCAAGATACACAATCGACTCTCAGTTGTGCAATTGCAGGTTCGCAAGAAATTAACCAATTACAGTCAACTATTCTCTTTGCAATCGAAAAATCAAAATTTGAACACCGTTCAGCAGTTTTCGATAAATCAATTTAATTTTTCAATAAATTACAATCAAATTTTTTGCTAATAAATTGCATAAATAAAATAAATACAAAAAATATCGAACTATATTTAAATTCTTACTTGAGGAATTCTATAAAATTTAGCTTTATTAACTGTTATGCAACTCTCTAAAATTATTATATTTTATTTGATACTCGCAATCTCAAAATCGTTTATTTTTACTGTTTACCAAATAGCTACATTTAACAGAAAAAAATTTTATTAAGCGCTTTACGCTGATTAGATTATATTTTTAGATCTAAAGGAATAATCCTATCTCAGCACAGATCTAAAAATATATTCCAATCAGGGGAAGCTATTTATTTTTTCCCTGTTAAACGCAACCAATACTAAACAAAGAAAACTTATGATTATAATTATGAAAGTATGTAGTTTATTTATATCTTTTATTTTTCTATTCTCTTTTTAAGATTTAATAGAGTTAATTTCATTGGTGCGAAGGCAGTGAGGTGATATTAGTAATTTTGCTGATTATTGTTAGCCCTAACCTCATACATAGAAAGAAAAGGAAGAGTAATTCATATCACTGTATTAGGCAATATTATAAAAACGTAGTATATATGTTACTTGAATTAATCAAAGAAAAATGAGTACAAAATTCTTATTTGTTGAGTCAATGGAGATATTGCGGGATACTTTGCCACATTATCATATTCTATTAATAACGGTTTTACTACTTTCTATAGTGTGGTTTATTTCTAAAAGACGAATTAACATTAATTATCATAATTCAACACCTTCAAAAGAATTGGTGGAAAGTAAACTAACGGAATGGCAACCAGAATTTCTGGTACCAGAACCACCGGCGAAGCATCCTTCACTAAGTCCTAAACAAATCACTTCTAGAATTGGAAAGCGAGTGATAGTCAATGGCAAAAATTGTCTCAATTTGGGTACACATAATTACTTGGGTTTAAGTGATAATATGGAAATAATAGAAAGTGCTGTGGCAGCTGTAAAGAAATACGGCGTTGGATCTTGTGGACCACGAGGTTTTTATGGAACTGTTGACGTTCATCTTGAACTAGAAGAACGTTTGGCTAAATTTATGAATATGGAAGAAGCTATTATATATTCCTATGGGTTTTCTACTATAGCATCTGCAATCCCGGCTTATTGCAAGCGTAACGATTTGATATTTGTGGATGAACAAGTAAATTTTGCTATACAAAAGGGATTAGATGCTTCTCGAGGAAATATTCAATACTTTAAACATAATGATGTTCAAGATTTCCATAATCTGTTAATGAAACAGGATGAAATAGATAAAAAAAATCCTAAAAAAGCTGCTAAAATTAAACGTTTTCTAATTATTGAGGGTATTTATATGAATACAGGAAACATCTGCCCTTTACCAGAATTAGTAGACCTTTGTAAAAAATACAAATTGAGAATCTTTATTGATGAATCGATATCATTTGGTACCATTGGTCAAGGGAAGGGTGTAACTGAATATTTTAATATTCCTAGAAGTGAAATAGACATGATAATGGGTAAAAAAAAGCCTCTATAAAATTATCAAATTGTATTTGTTAATTTATGAATAAATATATAATAATTTCTGTATCATATGTTTTTTAGGATCTTTAGAATGTGCTATTGGATCTATTGGAGGTTTTTGTGTAGGAACATCATTTGTTATTGATCATCAACGTTTATCTGGTCTTGGATACTGTTTCTCAGCATCACAACCACCTCTTTTGGCATCTGCTGCTATCACTTCTTTAGATATCATAGAAAATAATCCACAAATATTTCATTCTTTGAAAAATAACAGCTTATTGATGGATAAAGGTCTTAAAGAAATCTCAATGTTAGAATGTCTCAGTTTTGCAGAATCTCCCTTGAAGCATGTATATTTGAAAGAAAAGAAGGATTATGTTACCGAAGAAAAATTACTATCTACAATTTCTAATAAGTGTATAGAAAATAATTTAGCAGTTATATTACCTGCCTATTTATCTGAAGCGGAAAGAATGTTACCTAGACCTAGCCTTAGACTTTGTATATCTGCAAGTCTAGATCATAACGATATCAAATTTGCACTAAATACTTTGAAAAAATGTACCGAAGAAGTTTTATCATCAATTGAAAAAATTGAATCTTGAAGAAAAAATATTTCAAGATTTTTAAATTTATATATTAAAAATATATTTAACATTTATGTAATGGCTTTTATATATGGTGTCTTTTATTAGCATATTTTATTTTGTTGGGATATTTTATTTAGTATCAGTGTACTGATATTATATAAATATAAAAAAAAAGTTGGGAAATAAATTTTATTTCAATTGCATATATATAATAAGTTTATTTTTTTAATACTTTTAAATAATATTTTTAGAAAAAAATAATCGTATATAAAATGTGTTAAAGTAAAATTTTTCTCTTTTCTAGCCGTAATTATTTCAAAAACATTATTAAAGGATAATGCAATTTCTTTTACTGTAAACAAAAGATAAAAACTTTTAAAAATAATATAATTTTAAGCCAAAATTATACATTTTATAATCACATGTTAATTATAAGATAAAGAGATTTTACTCGTTATTTTAGAGATATGATTTCAATATCTCTAAAACTAATAAACAAGGGTGTCATGAAAAAAAAAATGAACGTTTATTCGTATTATTAATTGATGAATAATCACAGAACAAATTTCAGATCAATTTAGTTTTCTCAATCAAAATTATCCGGTTAAATATATATAAGATTATATATACGATTTGACGAGAGCGAGCATGGCATAGTAGAGCATTGGTCTAATACAATGATCTGGCAAACTGTGAGAAGTATTCTTGCTCACAGAACCTTCTCAAAAAAAATTTGCCGTTCGGAACCGGCGTTAAAAAATATAGGTCCCATATGCCTGTGCATTATCTACGTGCGCATCACAGCATGTAAAAACAGGCTCTAAACTCTATACGTAAGAAGAAAAAGAAGAGAAGTTTCACCACAATTTTAACAATCTAAAGCAAATCATATAATGTCGCTTTTGAAATTATCAAACTCATTGCAAAAATTCATTGCATGCGAAATCGTTATAGAATAAAATAAATGCAATTTCTAGTATTGACAAATGTTTTGAAACTACAAGTCTGTTCGCGCTGAAAGAATATGCCTTCTATTTTAACTAAATCTAGTATATTTTACGGTTTGATACTAAATATTTCTTATTATGGTAACACTGTTCGTCTCCTCATCTTAAAACTTGAAACGTTGGAACTTCCGTTTCACTCTCCAACGTTGCTTAGCTGAGGTGAGATTCTCGACGCATTGTCACTGCAAAATTATTACAATATTTAATTTTTATATCGTTTACGTTAGATTTAGGATACTGCATATGTCTTGTTTCTATATAAAAATAATGTAAAAAATATATGCTAAATTATTTTACTTAGATTATTTTTTTTTTTTCTCTTTTCCTCCGGTTGGAGGATGTCGGATTAATTCCGACTATGTGTCTTCAACCCTAGGGTTATATAACACAGGTTTATCTAAATCCTTTATAAGTTTCTCTGTATTCTGTGATATTCTAGTTCAACTTTCTCTTTATCCACGTTTAGCTTTCTCTTTATCCTTAACAAATTGCATGACGCAACACAAAAATTCATGTGAGGACAAAAGACGTCCCACTCACTCGATGGCTAAAGACCAACTCTTACTTAGATTATATTATATGTTAGGTTAAGAAGCCATGTGCTACATAAATTGAATCGTTTTGCATCATCGTTTGCATTGTGCATATGGCATGTTAAATTAAAAAAATTTTATATTCAAATATGCATTAAAATGATGAAAAAAATACTTAAAAAAAATACTAAAAACAAGAAGAATTTAGAGATAAGTAAATTCATGTTGAATGAAAACTATATATAGAACAAGTATATTTTATGTATATTTTTCATTGGAGATAAATGCCATTAATTTTTTTTGAAGTACATATATACTTTTTATAGAAGTACAAATTTATATATTTCTTTTCATATATTTAATCTTTATTCTTAATTTTTTCTAGTCCTTAAATTCCTATAAGGTATCCCTATACACTTCAAGATGGGTAGGGAGGACAAAGCTACATGGAAATCCAATTACTTTACTAAACTTGTCGTAAGCATCTTTGCATTTGTTATATTCTTTGATCTTAAAATACATAATGCATAATGCAATATTTAGATATTTAGAAATTATATCTGTAAATTATATTAAAATATATTTTTTTATTAAATATTAGCAACTATTAGACGATTACCCAAAATGCTTCATTGTGGGTGCGGACAATGTTGGCTCAAAGCAAATGCAACAAATTCGTATGTCACTGCGTGGCAATGCAGTTGTATTAATGGGCAAGAACACCATGATGAGAAAAGCAATCCGTGGCCATATTGAACGTAACGCAGCACTGGAGAAATTGCTGCCTCATATTCGTGGCAATGTTGGATTCGTTTTTACTCGAGGTGACTTGATTGAAGTAAGGGATAAATTGCTGGAGAATAAAGTACGTGCCCCTGCAAGAGCAGGTGCCATTGCACCCTTGAGCGTCATTATTCCGGCGCAAAATACAGGACTTGGTCCTGAAAAAACGTCTTTCTTCCAAGCTTTAAGTATTCCGACTAAGATCTCCAAAGGTACTATTGAAATTATAGTAAGTATTTGTCGAGAAGTACTTGAATTTAATTATTTCAACATTTTTTTCATAAGCTTCACGAATATAATTGCAATATTAATTTTTAGAACGACGTTCACATTCTCAAACCTGGTGACAAAGTAGGAGCTTCCGAAGCCACGCTCTTAAACATGCTGAATATCTCTCCATTTTCATATGGATTATTAGTCGAGCAGGTATATGATTCCGGCACTATCTTCGCTCCTGAAATTCTAGACATCAAGCCTGAAGACCTTCGTGAGAAGTTCATGGCTGGCGTTGCAAACTTGGCTTCAGTTTGCTTGGCGATTGGTTATCCCACGGTTGCTAGCGCGCCACATAGCATTGCGAACGGTTTCAAAAATCTACTGGCCATCGCCGCTGTTACTGAAGTTGAATTTGCAGAGGCTGCCACTATCAAAGAATACATCAAGGTATGATTCTGCATATAATGTTAATATTTTTATATTAATTTTCTCAACATTCCTAAACAATATATAATGATGAAAATATTACACGTCTAAAGATCTTGGTTCACGTGTCAGAGCTAGAAATAGCTGAACCCACTGACGCGTCAAGATCAGGGTTGAAATATCGCGTGAAGCGCAGTCTGAATATTAAGCATAATGTAAACACAATGTTGTACAACTGGTCAAGAAGTCACATTTATCAAGGATAATAAAATTGCTTATAGGATCCAAGCAAATTTGCTGCCGCTGCCGCTGCGACAGCTCCTGTAGCCGCGGCTGCTGACACTCCTGCTGCAGAAAAGAAAGAAGAGAAAAAGGAAGAATCCGAATCCGAGGACGATGATATGGGTTTCGGATTGTTTGACTAAAACGCACAACCTGAAATAAACCTTAAACAAGAATATGTCCAAATTTTGGATCAATTTTATAAATTCTGATTTCTCAGAAAATAAAACTCAATTGAAATGATTCCAAATTTAATCTACATTCATTAACGCTATTAGCCCCTAACGTTAGAATTCCTGATGAAATTACATATCGTCGAGTGCTAACGTCGAGTCCTTGATGGAGAAAAAAAAATGTTAATTACAGAGAGGGCGTCACCGTCGCCCTGTACTTTTATTAGTTCGCGCATGATCGTTGAGACTTGAATTTTTGTATTAAAGTAGGAATCACGTTTCTACGAATGCACATATCACGCTGGCAGCAACAGGAACGTGAATGATTTCGAGAAGGACTAGTAGCCGATCGTGACCAGTGAACAGTGTACATAAGACTCGACGAGCCCTTGAAATTTCTTTACCGGTGTTTGATCTTCGAGGATAAGACCCGAAAGTACGAGCCGAGGATATGGGACTGCTCTCCGAAGGAAGTCCCCTGAGCTGGGAGGAGACGAAGAAGCTGTCCGATCACGTGCGCAAGCATGGGATTATTCAGTTTATTAACCTGTACAAAAAAGTCAGGGACAGACAAGGGGATATTTTGAAATGGGGCGACGAGGTAGTATACGAAGAGATCATCGGCGATTAGCGGCAAATCGGAATCAAATTTAATTTGCAGTGTCATTCCCTCCGAAATGCCATGTCATCCTGCAATTGCGTTAACTCATTTGTCCCCTAACCTTCACGCTCGATCCGTCACGGAATCGTCACGATCCGCCACGCATTCGCGCTCGCTAGAATCCGATACTATCGTTAAAATATTTATACGCAATACATGTCACCGGAAGATGGATCGAAGTAGAAAGTTACGGTCCCATTAATCTTTTCAACGCGCTGCGTCACACGTGTTACGTGCGCGTAAATGCGAATCCCGTGTATAATCTTGTCATTACCACTGATAATAAGCTGTTTGTGTCTTTCATGTCCTTGAAGCTTCTTTTTTTCGCTCAAATTATTGAGTTTGTTTTATTGTTAATTTTTTTTTTTTACACTTTTCGTTATCATGTATTACGCCATGTATTCATATTCCGAATAATTTATTTCTCATGCTTTAAAATATTTTATTTTGAGAAGGGTGAAAAGGGGAAGGGTGAAATAATTGCGATATTAAATTATTTTTAAAACAAAAAAGTAGATACACAAACAATATTTAACGAAATTTGATTAAACATAAACGATTTTTGGAATAGGCTGAATGTTTAAAAGAGATGAAAGAACAGGATTTGAATATAAACGTCTTTGCATGGGACAGCATTTGCAATCATGGAAATATCAGTCGAATGAAAATTTCATGATTGTATAACTGTCATTAAAGTTTATTATTTATGATCTCAATTATCCTTTCTCTTATCTTATCTTATCTTAATATTTTATCTTAATATCTTAATATCTGTAGAACTTGTAGTCTTATAATCTATATACATATATATATTACATTTTATGTAAAAAATAAACATCAATTATATACTTTGACATAAACACTTTTTTCTTAAGAAGCAAGTTGGAAAAATAATTATTTTAAATCTTTTCAAAAATAAATAAACTGTAATATAATCGTTTATAGTTTTAAAAAAGTATAATTTTATCAAAGTTAATTTACAGACAAAATTACAAAAAAATTGACTTTTTTAAATCTTAATTAAAATTTAAAAAGTACTTGTTTAGAAAAAAAATCAATCAAAATGTAGTCAATTAAGATAAGAAAAAGGATTTTAAAAAATAATTTGATGTTAACTCACTGATAACAAAAAGAAACAAAGCTAAATAATTTTGTTTTATGAAATTTTATAATTGCACCCTTCCCCTTCAAAATTAAATTCAGAAAAGGTTTTTGACTTTTATAATTAAAATATTGTTATAACTAGAATATTTTTACAACTAGAATATTATTTATTTTGTTTTTAATATTTACATTAAAGTACTTAATAAATATGTTTTCTTATGTAACATAATTATTTTTATATAGGTAGAATATATAATCGTAAAATTTGATGATGACGCAAAAACTGCAAAGCTTAGTTTAAGAGCTGTTGAAATATTAAGAATTTTAAATAAGAAAGTAAAATGAAGATCGAGAGTAAGTTTAACATATTGAGCTTATAATATACATATTAAGCTTATAATATCCTCCTGTATACATTTTATAAATTTGTAAAATATATTAATTATATTAAATAATTTTTTTTTAATTTTAGCTCTTTTTTTACTGTTTGAGAGAATTTTTAGTAGAATTGAAAATACAGAAAAAGAGAAACATATTGTAATAAACAATACTCTTTTTGTCATAAAAATTTCTAATTTCAAAGATTGTTGAAAAATTTATAATCGATAAAATCAATTAGGAACCATTTTATATTTTATTTATGTGCTAATTTGACTTTATAAATATCAAATTATTTTATAACACTATTATTTTTACAGTAATGTAAAATCACTTTGGAGACCAGAATATGGCGCTTATATGCTTGAAGGAACTCCAGGAAAACCATATGGAGGTTTATTAGCTCATTTTAATGTTGTTGAAGCCAATATGCGTTATCGAAGACAAGAAGTAATGAAATTATTGCAACCAAATGAAGTTTTAATGACATTAACTGCTTTTCCAAGGTAATTATAAAAGAAAAAATTATTAATATTTTATAAATATTTTATAAAGCATTCTATGTTCTTATATAAATTTTATTATTCTATGTCGCAGAGTAGGAGCTCCTGATTTTACCAATCCTCCTGCTCATCCTACACCTAATAATGGTGCCTCTAGAAGTTTATTTTTTCCCGATGAAGCTATTTATCCCGGTCATCCGCGATTCCAGACATTAACCAGGAATATAAGGCAACGACGTCAAGAAAAAGTCGCTATAAACATTCCTAGTATGTAACAATGTTATGTCAGTTTCCCATTATCTTTTAGTAAATTTTACTCGATTGACATGATTCCATGATATAAATCAATTTTTCCAGTTTATAGAGATGAAAATGTGCCACTGTTGTTTAAAGAAGACTTTACTAAGGGGGATGATGGATCTTCTTCAAAAGCAGCTAAAGATAATCACATTTACATGGATGCAATGGGTTTTGGAATGGGATGCTGCTGTTTGCAACTTACCTTTCAAGCATGTAACATAGAAGAAGCGAGAACGTTGTACGATCAATTGACACCTTTATGTCCAATTATGGTTGGTATCAATACTAAATCTACTTAACAATTTTGTTTCTGCTCTTTAAATGATAGCTGCATATAGAGTATTTTTTTATACATACATTACAGAAAATTTGTTTAACATTCGACAGTTGGCTATAACTGCTGCTAGTCCGTTTTACCGAGGCTATATAAGTGATGTTGATTGTCGATGGAACGTTATATCTTCATCAGTGGACTGCAGGACACAGGAAGAACGTGGATTGAAACCTCTTAAGGAAAATAAATTTAGGATCAGTAAATCCAGATACGATTCTATCGATTCGTATCTCAGTGAACAAGGTGAAAAATATAATGACGTTCCTCTAACATACGATGACGAAATATATAAGCAACTTTTGGATAATGGGATCGATCATTTACTTGCACAACACATAGCTCATCTATTTATCAGAGATAGCGTCTCCTTATTTTCCGAAAAAGTACATCAGAACGATTTAGAAGATACTGATCATTTTGAGGTGAGATTACAATTGTAATGTTAACTTTTCAACAGTATAATTGCAGTAGAAGTTTCGACGTCATCAATTAAAATATTGTTTCAGAATATACAAACTACAAACTGGCAAACTATGCGCTTTAAACCGCCATCACCGAATTCATCTATCGGTTGGCGTGTAGAATTCCGTCCATGTGAAGTTCAGATCACGGACTTTGAGAATGCCGCGATAGTTTGCTTTACAGTGCTACTGACGAGAGTCATTTTGAGTTACAAACTGAATCTTTTAATACCGATTAGCAAAGTCGATCAAAATATGGTCAGAGCGCAGAAAAGAGATGCAGTGAAAGTAGAGAAATTTTGGTTTCGTCATGATATCACTTCCGACATAAAATCTGACAATGCTCAATCAGAGTACACGGAGTTTACGATTAATGAAATTATCAATGGAAAGGTGCTTATCAGATAAAAAAAAATAATTATAATTTGTATGTGTAATTTGAATATATTTTGTATGTGTTGTGCATTAAACATTATCTTATTTATTTTTTTCTTCATAAATTACATTTACATATTCAAATAATTTGTGTTTTCTAGAATTTTCTAAATATATAAGAAATATATTTTGTAAATGATAAACGCTACTATTCGTATTTTCAGAATGGCGTTTTCCCTGGTCTTGTACCACTTGTAAATTCATATCTAGCCAACATGAATGTAGATGCTGATACACATTGCAGTATCCAAAGATATCTGAAATTAATACAGAAACGAGCTTCTGGCGAACTCTTAACAACAGCCGCTTGGTTAAGAAAGGAAGTCCTTTCGCATCCTGAATATAAGTAAGTGATATATTTTATGTATTTATTTATTTATTTATTTATTTTTATTTTAATTGTTGATATTGTTCTTTAAATATGATACCATTCTAATAAAATATTAAATGTGAAAATAGGCATGATTCTGTTATAACACAACGCATCAATTACGATTTACTAAGAAAAATTGACAGCATCGTTTCGAATGATTTATCGTGTCCAGAATTGCTTGGCCAGTGTGTATCATCTAAAACTACCGATACTATACCTGCTGCTGTTGCTAAAGCAGAAAAGTGCACAACAGCAAATGACAATTGATGATGATGGTGTAAAAACGTTTCAGGTAAATCAGTAAGTTTATACTTTTGTAACATCGTTACACATATTTAAATGTCACTTAAATCTGCATAATTGGATAAATATATCTTTGCGTTATTTAATATTTTTAAACAATACAAAAAAAATAAAAATAACGCAAGATATAAAGTTTTATAATTTTATATTTGTAATTTTATATCCCATTTATTATACACGTGCTACATTGTTTTTATTTACTGACTATAAATTGTATATGAGATTTATAATTTACGTAATTTCTAACAGTTTTAAGAAGTAAAAACAGTATTGAGTATATATATATGTAAAAGAAAATGTTAGTAATGTTATGATTATGATCAACGAATCGACATTCCACGAATCATATTGTGTATTCGATTCATTTAAATATATCGTTCAGTACTACTATGTATTAAATAATTCGTTGAATGAACAAATACTAAATTTAATTGTACAATATATAATTAATTAATAACAATGTCTATAGTTAAAACCTGTAGAAGTTTTATGATTTATTAACAAGAATTAATCTGTTTTATTTTTCTAAGATTTAATCATTCTTTTACTAATTTTACGCTGCCAATTAATACAAGCTGATTTTAATTATAATTTTTCTATTCATATAAATTTTTTTTTCTTCAAATTACTTAAAAAAATAAAGCATATCTAGAATCTGTACAACAAAAATTATGTAATTAGTATATTATGTGAAAACGTAAATTGACACCAGTATATTAGTTACTTTTATAAAATTATTAGTATATTATTTACAAAATTTATAAAATTTTATAAATAATATGTATAGTTTCTATCATTTGCTATCCTTTTAAAAATTTTGTCAAATTAATCGGTTTTAAAATGAAAAAGTACTTACACAGACACTGCGAAAATATTTCTTTTTACAAGAACTTGAGTGAATTTCCACTCAATGTTTAAAGCGTAAATAATAGAGATGTACGTATTATTTTTACTATTTTTTTCAATATCTTTTGAAATACATTGCATATAAAGTTTTGAATTATATTAGGCAATATTACTTTTTTTCTATTGAGTATAAACTGAATAAATATAATTAAATTAAAAGAATCAAAAATTGCAAATATTCAAGTGCTGAAATTCTAGATAATTTGTATGAAAAATGTGTTAAAAAAACATGTTATACATATTATTCTATAATTAAAAACGCACTTCTATATCTCTTCGCAGATGCACTCTATTCTCACGGATCTTTATAAATCTTTTATTAATTATTGTGAAAATTGCAAAATGGTAAAGTAAAAATTTTTTTATTTAGTATAATATGTTCCAATTGAAGTACGTCACTGACTATGGGACACTCTGTATATGTACTAATAGATATGTACTTAAGATTGAAACAAACTGTACTAAACTAACACACACACACACACACACACACACACACACACACACACACACACACACACAAAACATGTACACAAAGCGCTAATCTTTGGAATATGCATTATATGAATTAGTTATATAATAAAAAAATTAAATTATACAAATTAAATTATAAAAGAAAGATATACGTAATATATGCATGTATATGCGCTTGAAATAATTTTCGCAAATTGAAATTACTTTAAGCAAAATTGTTACAGTCTGAATAAAACAATAATACATCGACAGTTATATCTTATAATATTCTCTTTCCTGTTTCCCTTTTTTTATTAGTATAAATAAAATAATTTGGTATGATAAATGCATGTACATGAAATTTATAGTTTTCATCTCAAAAAAGGAAAATCATGTCATTATTTTCTTTGTATTACTCGTCGTTAATTTTTCATATACCAATCTATATTTAATGATATAAATTAATAAAATATAGCAAATTTCCTTTTCACTTTGTGATTTAAAAATATTATATTATAAATCTTGATTGATTGTTATAAAATCTATTTTAGACGTAATGACACATATATAATGCAAAGGTTGAATTATATATATATTTACTAATACTATATTACTATACATATTACTATACATATATTTACTAATAAAAAATAAAGAATAAGGAAATTTTTTAGTATATTTTATTATCGAAGATGTATAGTAATTAGAAAAAAATATATATTAATTTATTTCAATATATATTTCAATATACAAAAAATTCATGATTTCTCGTTTTTGTTATAATTTAATAAAAGATTTCAATATAACTCTCTTGACATTACAAACATATGTTACTAATATTATGGAATGATTCATTGTACAAATACTATAGCTAGAATTGTCATTTGAGTTAGAATGTCATTTAATCATATTTATTTATTTAAATTCGTTATGTTTATCTAGACTTGTTCTATATGAAATATAACTATTCCACAGTAAAGCAACTGATTGCACAACTAGTGCTTGATAATTCAAAGGTACTATAGAAAAGTTCAAAAGTTGTACCATAGGCCATAGCTAAAACAAAGATAAAAAATATATATATTTCATCATAAAACAAATAAAAGCAAACTTCCAACTTTCTATGACATATTATTTATTACCTTATAATTATTTATTAAAATATCTCTGTATTCATTTGCTATTTTAACCTTTAGTTTTGCAATGTCTTTTTCTTGACAAATACCAATAGCAACTAGCAAAACTGCTATGAATGAAGGTGCAAAAAATAATTGATCACAGGCAACTTTCTTAATAGCAACGGAGGAACCTTTGGAGCCTATGTATTTATCTAAAATCCCATACCATGTTCTTGTCGCTGGACCCTGTATATTTTATTACATACTAAAGTTACAAATTTTTGTTTATTGTTACAATTCTATTCTATTTAAAATGTTTTATTTAATTTATAAATATAAATTAAAATAAAAAATGTATGTATATTATGAATATTATGTAATAATTGCACTTACAGTAATGAAAAAACCAATTCCTGCAAATTGCATTGTACGTACAAAATCAATGTTTTTCGAATCATCTATGAAGTTCTGTGCAATTTGATCACCAAGTCCCATTAATATTCCTATATATTCAATATCAATAATAATGATGATAATATACAACTATATGCAATATACAATTATTATATGAGCATGTGTATGTATGCATATTAAAATAAACTATTAATTACCAGCTTGTACTGCCTGTGTACTCACAGGATATTTTCTTAATGCTTTTTGATATAGCCTGTTTATATTTCGCATTATTATATGTTTTTCGATAACATCATTAATTGAAATTGTTATTTATGTTATGTAAAATAATTTTCGATTCTGTTAAGATAATTACGAAGAGCACAAATGTCAGACAGCACTCAATCTGCAACAAGATAATTTAATTATTATAAAAAAATTAGATGACGCACAACCGATGCTTTATGCGTGGTTACATAATCTAATTGTCGTTCTAAAAACTAATTAGTAATTGTTTAATTTAGTCCTTATTCAGAATCTAATGAATTTACACTTGATGCAATCAAAAACAGCTAGTGACAGTACTTAACACGTTCTAGTATCATTATATTTCGGTGCTGTTGATTGGCTGTGCAATAGTAAAGTGTCAAGTCCCCCAACATTCTCTATCTTGTAACCAATTAACATGTTCAGAAATTTTGTAATACGACAAATGAGATATTAGTCGAGAAACGTAATAAGAGGGTTATCATTTTAAATATTTTTGTTGATGAAACTTCAGTGAAACATTTGATAGTTAACCTCTTCAATGCGGAATCGGAAAATTAATTGTTTGCTTTCTATTAATTTCACTTGAATTTACAAAAATAATGCAATTTTATTACACATGAATGTTATTTCTTACATAAAAAGAGTATAATATATTTATTTTTATGATAAAAGAATACTATATTTTTATTGTAACATGTTACAAAAATACGAAAATAAAAAAGGTAAAGTTCTTTTCTTTAAAACAATATTTTATCTTCAGACTGATAAGTAATAATTAAAAAATATTTTTTATAAAGTATGTTCTCCTGAAGAAATTGAAAGGAAACGTTTATTAGCGTTGCAAAGGAAGCAGCAAGCTCAATTAAAAACGCAAAGTATACTTACGAATAGTCCAGCTCTTGAGCAATCAATATTAAACAACAGTGGAAAGACACAAAATACACTTATGAATCCAGCTTTTCAACAATCAGTATTAAACAACAGTGGAAATGTTGCACGACACGAGAAGCCAAATAATCGTTTTAATCCTATAGAATCAAAAAATTTTTTCAATCAAGTGCCAAATGTAACAGGAAAATGTTACATGATCAGTAATGATAGATTTGCGTTAGATGTACCATTTATACCTGCAATTATTAATCTATTTAGAACAATTCCAAGTAGAAATTATGGTAATTATAAATTAATTAGCTTTATGGAAGGTATAATGCACACAAATGTTTATAATAATATTAATTAACATTTTTATTTTTGAAGATCCAAAAACTAAAATATGGAATTTTCATATCAATGATTATAACAATCTGCTGAAAAAACTGCATCCCTATATGAAATCTGTAACTGGAATACCAGAGGATGTCTTTCAGGTAATTAGAAAATTACAAAATAGGTATAAATCAAGTAGATATATAGCATTTATTTTAGAATACTCCAATTTTAGCTATTCAAGAAATATGCAAAGTCAAACAATCAAATTCCAGAATTAGATTTGTTAAAAATCGACAAGAAGTTGACATATTCTTTAATGCCATTTCAACAGGAAGGTGTCTGGTAAATCATGGTGCTTAATTTTGTATATATTTTTTATATTTTGATTATTACATTTCTTTAATTTATTCTAGTTATGGTATATCAAAGAATGGCCGTTGCATGATCGCAGATGAAATGGGTTTGGGGAAAACTATACAAGCATTAGGCATAGCTCATTATTTCAAGGAAAGTTGGCCACTTTTAATCGTAGCTCCTTCATCAGTCAAGTAAGTTCTGTTGTAATTGATGAAAACATGGACATATCCAGGGAAAGGATGATTAGGAGGTTCAAATTTTTTCTTCGAAATTTAAAACAAAAAGTAAAGTTAAGATTAAATGATTTACAAAACCTAATATTTTCCTTATTTAAAATCAGGAACAAAGAAACATTCTAAGTTTTAAAATATCCAAAAAAGCAATTCATTAATGCAAAAAATTACTATTTATGTGTTAACAGAATTGATAAATCTCCTCATCCCTGAAAAAAAATTCTAGATAGAAGACAATACCGACATTAAAAGTATTTTATTTAGGTATCAGTGGTCTGCAGCTATATACGACTTCTTACCATCAGTGCCTACACATTACGTCCATCATTTCTTAAATGCAAGAGATTGCATTGATGATGATAAAATCACTATAATATCATATAATTTATTACATCAAAGTATAGATACTATCGCAAAATATATTTATGGATTTGTTATTTTGGTACATATATTTATATGTATATATATATATATATATATGTGTGTAATATTTTGAACAAGTCAGTGATAAACGTTGTTGTTATTATCGCATTTTATGATATAGGATGAATCTCATGTCTTGAAGAACATGAATACTGCGAAATTTCAAGCTGTTCGTCGAATATGTACTCATGCTCGTCATGTTGTATTACTGACTGGAACTCCGGCTTTATCAAGACCAATCGAATTGTATTCTCAAATTAGCCTCATTTTACCACATTTTATGAGGTAATTAAATGATAATGAGATATACATGTATTTTAATTATGTGAATATGCATGCATTTCAGAGATATTATTGTACAGGTATGAGGACTATGGTGTAAGATACTGCAACGGACGAAGAAATGCGTTTGGTTGGGATTTCACAGGCTGTTCAAATATGCAAGAGTTGCAATTGCTACTGAAGGTCACTTGCATGATTCGAAGAATGAAGGCTGATACATTAAATCAATTACCGTCTAAAACAAGGTTTCAAAAGAATTATTTTAAACACAACTAATTTGAGTGAAATTTGATAGGTATTTTATTGGTTTACATTTTTAGGCAGGTGATTATTTTAGATCCACTTTTGGTCAAAGCTGGCACCAAAGAAATGGAGAAGATGTCGCAACAAATGCAAAAACAAATCACAGGCTTGGAAAGGCATAATGCTTTAGTACAATATTATACTGAGTCTAGCTATGCAAGATTGAAGGCAATATGGTATGTAAATATACATAACATAATACCTGTATATTTTTTTAAATATATTCAACTTTTAACATGTAATTTTGACATTACAGCAAGTATGTTACGAATTTATTTGAAATAAAAAAAAATGCCTTTTGTATGCTCATCATCAAAATGTTTTGGATGCCATTTGCGAGATTGCTGAATCTATGGATATACGGTATAAATCTTTCTCGTAACTTAAAATCTATAATTTACATTTTCTTCTAAATTCTCTTTCACGATTCTTATCATCCATTATATATTATAATTATCAGATACATAAGGATCGACGGCAAGACTAATCCAGAGCAAAGGAAACTCCAGGTCGATAAGTTTCAGGAATGCGATGATTATTTGGCAGCAATTTTGTCAATTACAGCTGCAAATGCAGGCATTACATTAACAGCCGCACGTCTCGTGGTCTTTACTGAATTATTCTGGAATCCGGGAGTAATTAATATTTATCAAAAAGAAACGATAATTTTCCTTAATAATTTATTACAGCATTAACGAGTAAAATTTTTTTCAGGTTTTATGTCAGGCAGAAGACAGGGTGCATAGAATCGGGCAAAAGCATGATGTCACAATCCAGTATTTAGTGGCCAAAGACACTGCAGACGATTACATATGGCCGTTGATAAACAAGAAACAGAACGTTCTGAATTCAGTCGGCCTCGAACAGGACTTCTCGATACATAATGTCGACGCCACAGCGCAAAAGGAAAGCAATCAAAAAGACTTATCTTCGTTTTTGGATAGTTCTTCGAAGACAGAATCACAATCACAGCATGAGCAGGATAGTTCTTCTTCAATTATGCAAAACAATAAAGAATTGATTCCAGAACCATCTACCTCTGCAGACGATTTTAAAGATTTACTCGAGAATAATGAAGAATTGTTTGATTCCTGTGGTTGGGATAATATTATGTGATTGCGTAATGTTTTCGTTAACTATGTTCCTGCTTGTGCTCAAAGAAAAATATTTTTTATATGAGATAAAATAAAAGTTGTTTAAATTACAAACAGACAAAACAGAAATAAAAATCGTTCTTTGTGTTAAAAATTGCTATAAATTATATAATGATAGTTTAAAAAATTTTTTATTTTTTTTTATTATTTAATATAAAGTAATCATTTTCCTAATAAATATCTAATAATGATTATTTTATATTGTAAAATTCATACATATATTAGATCTATTCTTTTCAGCTGAACTTGCACTGTTTTTCTTTTTCTTTTTTTCTCTTTAAACATGGAAAGAAAAGGAATAAAGCTGAAAAGTGGAAAAAGGTCAGCCGAAAAGAACAAACTTTATGTATAAGAAGGGAAGTACGAGAAAGAAAACTGTTTTACCGATAAATATTTGTAATGCGAATCTGTATAACACAGACTTTGCAGATGGCATTCTTCTCGCAACGAGGATTCGGCGAGCACGCGTGAATTTTGGTTAGTATTGTTTATAACAAAGTGAAATGACAATGTCTCTTTCCAATGTGCGGCATTTCTTCGGCACGTTATATCAGCGTTACATGTTCTCATTACCGGCAATACATTTATCTCGCACACAAAAGGTAAGAATGAAATCGGCAGCCCGTCAAGGTTAGATTAAATACTTTCGCTATTTGCACTTGATTATTACATAATAATACAAAAGAATTACAAGACTATATAACACTCGCGCAGGGATTTAATTATTATAATTTGAGTTTGTCATGCGAGGGCATAAATACATTAATTACATGTGTTTTTTTCAGATTTTGGTTATCTGCTTCACCGGCGGCTCAATAATATTAGGAGGATTAGCACAATTTTTGAAAAGACGACGGAGACATCCAATTCCACCTTCTAGAAAGCATTATAGAGAATATAAAACAAGGCTAGGAAGCGTCAAAAATTCTACTTTTGGTAATATCATTGTATTACACGTTGTCTTATGTAAATTCTATTTAAAATTAAATAAAATTGGAATACATTTGAAGTTATCAATGATTATACATATATAAAGAAATATTAAAACAAGATACTATATTTTTTCATTCAACATCTAGATGTATTATCACAAGCATCATGGGCGAAAAGAAGTGAAGCCAGTACTAGAAGTCACATTAGTGATCATGCATCGCTTATCTCTTCTGTACCAGGTGGTCCAAATAATGACGAAAGACTTACTCCGCAACAATATGGTGTCCTTGGTAAGTCTTATGAAAATTATATATGTATAATATGTATTTTAGACATTTTTAAATATTACATAAAAATTAAATGATTAAAATATTTAATTTTGATTATTGGAAAACTGTATTTAATTTGTACTAAAAATATTTTTATATACTACTTTTAATAAAAATATAGAATAAATTATGCATTTTGAAAATATAAAAATTTAAATGTTACCATATCAATTCGGTATCTTTTCAATATTTATATCTCATGAAGAATAATTTTAATTTTTGTAAATGAAAATGCATGATCTAGTTGAGTAATCTGTCTAGTCGTGATTCGGGGCTTATTAGGGATTTGTTTTGTATGTACATAGCATTTATATTTACATGATAATGTACAATACAGCAGCGTTATTCACAAATAATACATCTGTGTCGAGAATATGGATATTTTTAGAACAATTCTTGGCTTTGACCGAGGTCGATAACTAGATTTTTTAGGGTTCATTAATCTACCGGCGTACAGGGTGAATCAAGAAGTAATTGTTGATCTGTGATCGAGTCGTATGAACTGTAGCTTTCTCCATCAAATTTTGTCCCCGTTTAAAATTACGCCGCCACAGGATCATTTACTCACGTCGCGTGCGTTTCGTTAGTCTATTCAGAATATAGAAGAAATATAGGTACCACAAATTTTATTTGCGTTTGTTTATATCTTTCTCGAGTTCTTCAATCTCGCAATGAATTATTGCTTTCTCTCAATGCAATCAATACAACGCTCACGAATTGCTCAACATGATGTTTTTTGTTTCCCTTTTTTTTTCGTGTCCTATGTAAAGTTTCCATCAAATATCACATCAGGCGCGTGATTAGGCTTACGATTGATAAACATCGTTAGAGACACTTCCGATTTAGTCCGAAATAAATGGTCTCGCGCTAATTCTACGATTTCATCGTCGGTTAATAGTAAAATATAAGAATTGTACTTGTACGAGAGACGATCTACTATCGATAGAGAAAAAATATCTATAAATCATGTTACATATAAATAAGCTTACTACATAATATTACAACTATCAAGATCATAGAAATACATATTATATACATATATGTTGATACTTGTTCAGTAAAAACGCTGATAACGTAACCTCGTATGAAAAATGACCGTCCATTTGTGTGTATCGCTTTTCGAGTAAACGAAAATCTTTCCACGAAACATTGAACTGAATAACTATACTTTGCACGCGTATCAAAATATTCTATACTCTTCTTTATTAATGAATTATCTTGAATATTTATATTATATATACCAATGTTTCCTCTTCTCCGTTACAATCTTTTTCAACAGTATTCTAAGAAACCTGCAGATCCTATCACTTTACATGCTGGCAACAGATGGGTACATACAAATGGGTATTGTTGTATCGAACTGCTTAGAACTGCAAAGAAAAACATGTGTGTCGCATTAACAACACACGTTTCGTGAATAACTTTCTATCCATGCTCGCGGATATTGTTATCACTTAACATTATCGCAACATGTAGTTACATATTGAACGACCGGTTTGCACATTTGTCACTTCGCTGCGACAGCGTCGGAACTTAATCGAATTAGTATCCGCAAAAAAATCGCGTACCCATCCACTCCTTCACGTTTTTTTTTTTCTCTCTTACTTGCTACCCTTATAAATTTTATAATCTTCTAAAATTATACGGCAATCTCAAAAATATATCGTAGCTGAATTAACTCGCTCTTTATCTTGCTCTTTTTTTCTTCATTGCTTAACTTCTATTCGCCTCCCGACTCGTCGTGTATGCTACTCGTCCAAGACGTATTCGCGGCAATTATAGCTCTCTTCTTCGCTCTCCAACCCTCGAAAAAAAGATGTATAATCTTCCGAAATGATTAGTCTTCTAAGGGACCTAGGGTTACGCTTTGCGAAGGAGAAAGAGAGGAGGCATAAGACATAGATTACAGTTGAAAAATCGTTTCACAGCGGGATTAGAAAAAGACGGATTGTTACGCGATCGGCTATTCAACAATATAACGGGTGAACGTTTCGCGGTCAGGTCAGGTTTAATCCGCCTACACATCGGTCGCTGCGATCTCGATCTTGTACTTAACTCATCGTCGTGAGACTAGCTCCATTGTTCAATCGCGAAGATACTTTTCTCTCAATCTTTCCGCTATCTTAAAACGCGCGCGCGTGTGTGTATGTGTGTGTGTAATAGTATAGATATATTATATATTAAATATCGAGTTTCTTTTCTTTTTTAAAGGCAAGCATATATCAGCACCGCGATTTAGCGGTACGTGTACGGTAGTGTCCGTATGTATGTGTTTAAATAAAGAGGTCATTCGCGCCATAATCACTACGTACGAAATTACAGCAATTTTTTCTTTCCGCGCATAATATATATTTATATATGTATTTTTTCTTCTTTTTTTTTCTCTGTGTAATTCTTTTTTTGTCTTTTTTAATCCTTTTTTTTTCTTTCTGTCGGTACTGTGTGGCCTACTAGGTTATATCATTATATTACTATTGCGGGAAATTAACATTTAGAGGCGACGACGATAGTAAACGCGCGATCGGTCCTTCACGTGATTTTGTGGAGGATCAGTAGCAATAGCGATGGGACGATGAGCGTCAGTAAGCACGATTGAAGCGCGATGGAGGTGGCGCCGGCGTACATCACCTCCACCACCACCTTGTTCTTGAGGGATAGCGGACCGCCGTCGTCGCTCTGCATTCCCGTCGATATATCTGTCTTCTTCGGCGGTAGGATCATGTTCTCGTCGTGGTCAATGTCCGACGGGTCATCCGTCCAGTGTCGTTGCGTCTCCTTATCCTCCTGCGGCTGCTTCATCGTCGTCATCATCGTCGTTGTCGTCATCATCGTCGTAGTCGACGGCTCGGTGGTCGTAGTAGGCGGCGGCACGGTGGTCGGCACTAGGCTGAAATTGCTCAGGAAATAGACACGTCCGAATTCCGGCGTGATATCGAACAACGTTTCCTCCTGCCGAGTGCCACTGATCATGCGTGACGTTGTCTCGCCATCCTCATAATGTGAGATCAACGTTGCAGTATATGGCACCTCCATATCAGTGTAATTTGCCTTTAAAGTCACGTTCACTCCTGTGCCAGGCTCTAAATAAACCAGCACACTACAACAGATGTACAAGGAGATGCATCAGGCTTGTTGATTCCTTTTACGAGAGCTCTCTCCTTAACGCTATCACAAGTAACGAAATTATATTATCTTGCATATATATATAATAAAAAAAAATTGAATTTTTAGCAATGACCCAAAGTTCAAAGCGCCTGTAAAAAGAAAGATGCATATTTACAATTTAAGGACACGTTTAGAATTATTAGAGTGGAATTTGTAAGGGTTGAATGCAGTCTATCACGTAGCGCTGGATCATTGCAACTGAAGCGCGGGCATCTGATGCACGAGCATCATTGTAATTGCGTTGCGTTGAAGCATCACTTAAGCCGAACCGCGACGAAGTATTCTGGGACAGCATCGAGCGGGAAGGGTGGCACGAAGTCGTCGTGCAAAGTGCACTCTAGGCTCATCTCCGCCGCGCGCGATCTTCAATGATGTACAGGAAGCGACGAAGTGCCCCCGAGGGGGGGCTAACTAGAGAGAACGAGCGAGACCAGAGGAAGACACGATTACGTCGCGGAAAATAAACCTGCGCTCTAATTATACCTAATTACAGAGATATGAGATGAGATTACGGGCTGAATCGTTGCAAACCGTACGCCTGTCCGACTTATGACTCACCGAACGTCCCGTAGATCCTCGCGGTTCTCCTTTGAACGATCCGCTAATTCCCCGTAAAAGCGATGATGGAAGCTCAGCGCTTCATCATCGCCATTCGCTCGTAATACATTATACGAATGAAATTAGAAAGGTGATAGGCTCCATGTAAATCAGCAATTCCGTAACGCTTCGTCGAAAACAAAATGTCGCTTGTCGCGTACGCGTCTACATAACTCTTTTAGAATATAAATGAGACGTTTTATCTCTAGATAGTCATGAAGAAAGGTTGTAAATTTGCATACCTACCGCTCGACTTCATCGCTCGAGTGACGGTCATAAAATGATACTCACTTGTAAACCTCCGTGCGATTCTCCTCGTCGCGCGTGCCCCACGTTATGTTCGGCAAGGACGTGCCATTCATCAGGGTGATCGTGGTGCTCAAACCGTTCAGGATGGCGTGCCGACGACCCCAGTAGACCGCGTATTTGTACGTGTACACGCAGGCCTCCGCCAGATTCGCCGCTTCCGCACCGCGGTTGACGATCGTCACCTCGCTGAGTACGCGTGGTACGCGTTTAATGTCACGCTTCTTAGGCCAGTTGAGTTTAACGGCGCTCAGCTCGTAACGGATCGGCTCGGTCTCCACCAACAGATCGCCGGACTTCGCGGACTCCTCCCTGCCGTCCTGAAAGAGAACTGGCGAATCTCAAATACCGTTCGCCGCCGACATAGTCGATTACCTCCGTTAAATAATTGCTGTGTCGTTAACGCGACACGGTATTATCTATCTATCTACCAATCTCATTTAAAAAAAAAACGATCTCACTTGAAAAAAAATTCTTAGTTTATTTCCGTATATCTTTAGTATGCTTGTAAATTTTTGCCAGAAACGAAAAGAAAAAGAAAAATGTGATTTTAATACACCGCTTTCATTGTCTTTTCCAAGTCGGTACGACATTATCTTTTTCAATTCTCGACCGATTTGCTACCCACCTCGTTCACGAAGACGATGGTGCCAAAATTCTCAATCGAGTTGAGCGTGCCGATATAATGAGTGTACCGTGGCTTCTTTCTCTCCTTGGAGACCCCGTGCCGGGCCACCAGCATCTTGTCGACGTACACCGCACCCACGTGAGGCTGCATATACTTGTCCCAATGGACCCACGAGATACGCGCCGCTCCGTCGACATTCTCCAGCAGCTCGTACCTCTCGTAGGGTTGCACGACACCGTGTATCGTTACCGTGCAGATCCTCTCGTTCTCCTTCTGCGTGCCGGCTACCCATACGCCGCTGTGCATCGCGCGGCATACGTAAAGCGCCGGCCTCCTCGTCTCTAGCTTCTCTGCCTGGTTGGCATAGCTCTCGTCTGCAATAAATCCGCCAGGGGGGATAATTGATCATCAATCATCGATACGACCGTTCCGTGGGCGTAAAGCACGGTTCTAACGTTTTTCGTCTGGCGCGACGCGAAATCGCCCAGGTCCAGGCTTTGAAGCTAAACGGCGACGGACAGCGCGGGAATACCGTCGCCGTCAATTTGTACGATCTAAATCTGGCGCGTCCTCGAACTCGTCTCGGCTCTTCAATGGAGCATAAACAAGCGTGATGACTCCGATATTAATGATGTAATATCGCGCACGTAATATATGTGTTGCACGTTAGTGATACACGTCGAGTCGAGCTCGGCCGGGATAATGCGGATGAGCGCGAGCGAACACTTGTTAAACTGTGCTCGTTCGGGTTTGCCCACGTTCGAGTTTGATTTCGCGTGGAGAATCGCGATGATACGAGGGATGAACGTCGATGTCGCACCTTCACTGTCGATGTTCTCCACGCCACCGATGACTATTTGCTTCGATTCGTTCGGATTGTAGTTCGCCACTGGTAGCCATTTGAGCGTAGTCGAGGTGAGTGGCTGGTGGCCATATTTCGACAATATGTGCACGCTGTTGTCCGCGGTGGTCACCGACAGCAGAAGGACGCAGCCCAGCACTCTCAAGGCGAGGTAGTTCTTCTGCCGAAGCATCTGGAAATGAGACGCGAGTGAGATGATCAGTTTAATCTTCGAGAACTGATGCCTCTCATAGCACACGTAGATTTTACGCACTAAGCGTTTTAACCCCTTTTAATCCCTAAGGTCCAGACTAGTGATGCGAAAAGAATCGATTTTTTTTTTTTTTTTTAGTTGATCTTCAGAATCGATGCATCGTTTGCAAAAAGAATTGATTCTCTTTCCGCCATTTTTTTTTTATTACACATTGACATAAGGTTACCACTTTTCGGACAAAGTTATGTCTCGTTATGCAGCTTAATTCAACGATCAATTTGCCTTATCTAGAGAATTTTCTCGTCGAGATTCTAGAAATATAGCTTGTCGGCTCTTATCGCTTTGGGGAGAGAAATCTGCCATCTCGTTAGAGTGAACGCGAAGGGTTCGTAACGCTGCTCTCTTTGTCTCCCCTTTTCCTCTTCCCCCATTTTTCTGCCGGAGGTCGACGGCGCGGCCGAGTTATGCAAAAAATGCGTGCGATTTTCCGGCGATTAACACGCAACGAGGGGGCACGCGTCTCCCTTCCCTTCTAATCGCGTTACGATCGGCAATAAAAATAAAAGAAAGGAAAAAAAAAAAGAGAAAAAATGCCGACAACGGGCACGAAGCGCACGCATAGCCTCGCGCTATCTATCCTACACGCCAACTCCGTTCCTGCGGTGCAACGCAGGCGAGAGAAGCTGGCCGCCCCTCTGGGGGCTTTGTGATTACGTTTCCGCTTACTATGCCGAGCGTGTCTTTAACGCGGACCCCCTCTCCCCGGGTATAACTGGACCTCGACTCGGTTTTGCTCTTGCCACGGTGTTTTCGCTTCGCTTGGCCCGGCAGCGAGCGAAAAGGAAAACCCGCGAGCTCTAATGCCCGGGGAGAAAAAAAAGGAAGGAGAGACGCAGCCTGCAATCCTCGAATCCTTCCTTCGAAGATTGATAACTAGATAAGGTCTTGCAAAAATGTGACGATCCTCGGAAAATAAATGATCGGAGATAAAACGGAAGAAAATTATCTGGGGGGATCAGTTTCCGTTAAAATCAACATCGCGATAGATATTTCTATCAAGATTAATGATTCGAGCGACGATGAAAAGGTTTCAAGTTCCGCGAGTCGCGATCATTCGGGATTCGAGCGTGAATGGCGACGACGGGAAATGGGAGGTCGCGGTGAATGAGCCATCGATTGGTGTGTGTTTGTACAAAGGCGACGCGACAAGTTGTATAATTGCTCGCTCAGCGTCCGTGATCGATATAACGACCGCGGACCAAAAGAACTTCGCCTCGAGATAATAATTCCAGGCGCGTCTTATCGCGCGACTCTCACGACGGCGATGATTCCGAAGGAACTCGGCACTCTCGAACCCGGCTTCTCGCGCAACACCCGGCATATCGGCTTCAAGTAACCGTAACGGTTCCGTGGCATATCCGTTTACACGATAATACGCTCGTTTCACACAGCGCGACTTCCGCTGCTGGAAAGCCCTCCCCCTCCCCCCCCGCCGGGAGAAAAGAGAAAGAGTGTCTGTCCTTCTCTCTCGAAGAGAATCCGCGGGCGCTTTCAGGGACGACGTTCAAAAAGGTGAAGTAGATTCAAATATTTATTAATGAAGTTGCACGAAAGAGAAATTGAGAATAAATTCGAGATGAAGATGAAAGGACGGTCGTCCACGCGATCGCTTTGTGAGATAAAAACCGGTTCTTCTAATTAAATACTAAATTCAAAGAAAACGAAGTCGGCGGTTGTCATCGGACTTCTCGATTAACGAACATGGAACAGCATAGATTTTTTTTTTTAAATAAAAAAGTTATATAAAAGAAGTGTGCGGACTTCATTGGAATTTCGCAATGGGAACGTGCGTGACCTACCGCAATGTTGTTCGCGATACCACAGCAATGCACACGATTATCGTAATGGATAGAAGATTTAATGACGATTAACCGGGAGAGGTAATTGGAACACTACCTTGATTTTAACGGCGGTGTTAAATGGTAGCAGGAAAAAGGAAACATTAACAATGTAGGTAATAACATGTTACCTTAGATCAATCTATCTCGTTTAACCGACTGGAGAATTCGAATTGGAATTATCTATAAATAACTAAATAATTTGATTCAGCGATCTCAAACTTGATTTACATTTTCCGCTTTTTTTACACCGTTTGTCCTCTAATTAACTTTCAACATCTCGTGATTAAGAATGCGCGGCGCGTATTAAGCTGACATAGCGACGCATTTATGAATATCCTCTCGCGAATGATTTTGCGCAGCGGCCAATCGAGGATTCTCCACTGACAAAACGTTTCCGTTCCACCGTAATTCCACGGTTCCGCGGAAGCGTCGTTGTCGGCGCGTTATTGTCGCGATGGTATCGCTCCAATTGTCAGAAAGATACGACGCGACTGATAATCCTTCCATCACGACCCGTACAATTGCGCGGGTCCGTTTTCTTTTTTTTTTTTTGTCAGTCTCACACATTTTTTTTTCCTCCTTCACGTAACGAAAAGTGTGAAGGTTTGCGTATATTTGCGAAGAATAAAGAAAAAAAATCCGTTACGCTCCGGTAGAGCAAACGTTCGTAAAAAAATAAATTTGTACGAACGTTTGCACGGTCCGTGACCCGAATGGAATTTGCGCGCACAAAGGATTCGCACGTTCCGATCAATCCGCGGTGATTTAAAAGGGACGCATTACGAGCTCCGAGGACACCGGTTAAGCGAGTTACGAGACGGT